ATGTGTTGGGCGAGAGGGTATGTGGGAAATCTCTGTCCTTCCTCCCAGTTTTTGCTGTGAATATGAAACTGCTCTAAAAATAATGCCTATTTGAAAACAACCTAATTCAAAAATGGGCAAAGGACTTGCACAGACAGTTCTTCAGAGAAGATATACAAATGCCCCATAAGCACGTGGATTGATGTTCAACGTCACTAATCATTAGGGAAATGCAAATCAAAACCACAATGAGATACCACCTCATACCCATTAGGATGGCCACTATCAAAAAATAAAACCAACACAACATTGTAAATCAACTATACTTCAATAAAAAAAATTTTTTTAATTGCAATAAATAAATAAATAAATAAAAATAAAACCAAAAACAACAAGCGTTGGCAATGATGTAGAGAAATGTGAACCGTTGTGCACTGTTGGGAATGTAAAATGTTATAGCCTCAGTGGAAAACAGTATGGCAATTCCTCATAAAATTAAAAATAGAATTACCATTGGTTCAGCAATTCTACTGCTAGGTATATATTCAAAACAACTGAAATCAAGGTCTTAAAGAAATATTTGTACACACATGTTCACAGAAGCATTATTCATAATAGCCAAAAGATGGAAGCAACCTAAGTGTCCACCAACCGATGAGTGGATAAGCAAAATGTGATAGGTATAGATATTCCATCAGATAGATAGATAGATAAATATATATATAGATATATATCTATGATACAGATATATACACGGAATATTATTCAGCCTTAAAAAGGAAAGAAATTCTGAGACACGCTATAACATGGATGAACCTTGAAGACATTAAGCTGTGAAATAAGCCAGTTACAAAAAGACAATACTGTATAATTCCACTTAAATGAGGGATCTAGAGTAGTCAGATCTTTAGAGACATGATTCTACAGAAAGCAGAATGATGATCATCAGGGATTGGGAAGAGACGGGAATGGGGAGTTAAGGTTTAATGGATACAAAGTTTCAGTTTTGCAAGATAAAATGAGTTCTGAAGATGAATGTTGGAGATTGCACAACAATATGTATGTACTTAATATCACTGAACTGTACACTTCTAAATAATTAAGATAGTTAAATTTTGTCATGTGTATTTTACCACAATAAAAGACTTTCAAAAAACTAAGTTATATTAAAATTATATATATACATATAAGTTTTTTAAAGAGTTATCTCCTCCAGGTGCCACATATGCTGGGCACCCCAATGACAAGGGAAATGGGAAGTTCAGATACTATTGAACAGTATTAATCATGGAGGGCTTCTCGGAGGAGGTGTAGTGGTTGGGCTGATGCTAGGCCAAAGGGGCAGGATTCCAGTGGTGGTGAATGATTCCACCTCAGTGTTCATCTGGATCCTGCTTCTCAGCTCACTGCTTCACAGTTTCCAGGGAGATAGTTTCCAGAGAACTTGGAATACCCATGTTGCTGTCACTTGGCAACCAAGAACTGGTAGCTGCAGCAACCTGCCACGTTCTTTCCATCATCCTGGGCCCTCATCTCCGGCATGGGCTCTGTACAGCCCAGGCACCGGGGGCCCAGCTAGGGAGGCACCTTCCACCTGCTTTCCTCTCAGCCACTCACAGGCCTCACAGGGACAACTGAGACTCTTGTTGATTGAGGTAAGTCCACAGAAAATGCTAGATGGACTGGGGGAAGGACACAGACAACCTCCAGCCCCAGAGGATTCTCCTATTTGCTTCCAACCATGGAGGACCCTGGAGGACCCTGGGGTCCAGTGTGGATGGAACACAGTCCTGATCTCAAGGGACTCACAGCCTAGTGCAAGAGACAGAGCTCACTTCATTCTTTCAGTACCCAGATGCTACTGCCTACTCCATGCTGGCTGCTGACCCACAGACCAGGGTGCGGGGGATGAGGCACAAAGCAGACTCCATGGTGCCCCACTCACTCCTCAGCAGGCACCTCTAAGAACCACAGGCTTCTTTCTTTAAACTTCGCAATTCTCTGCCTGAGGGCTTTTCATGCCCCCAGAAGCAGCCCTTGACCTGTGGCAGATGGGAGTCAGTGAACAAAACACACCAGTTCCCTTGCCTTCAATTGAAACAACTCTGAGACATGTCCTACACTGTTTGCCAGAGTTGCCCGGCAGGACTGAGCTCCAGGTGCCCAGAGCTCCTGGCTTGAGCACATAACATATATTGGCTGCCTTTCATCCCGTGTCACTTCTCTACTCCCTTATTGCTATCTCCTGGAATCAGCTCCCCAATAAACCACTCAAATCCTCATCTCAAATTAGCTTCTGAGGGAACCCAAGCTAACAGGGATGATGTATAACAAGGAACCAAAGTTCTGTGAGATGCGAGCTCTAACAGATTGCACGCAAAGCAGTGGCTGAACCAAGGGGAGCTGTCTGCCCAGGGCAGGCAATAGTGGTAGGGGGGGCATTGTCTTTAAAGACTTAAAAGCAGTAATAACATGGACCAACAGCCAGTCTACTTTTTATTATCACCATGAACCAGTCATTCTAACCAACTTCAGTGATAAAATTCCCCTCCCCACTGAAGCTGATAGATCTCACTGTCCCATGCCTGTTCCTTGGCCCTCCACTGAGGCCAGCTGCACTGAGGAGAGAGTCACTGTGGGCAGAGGAGATGGGGGAAGGCCTCAATTTGTAGCAGTGACCTTCTAATCACTCAGTACCAGCTGCCTGGTACAGTCCTCCAAGTGCCCCTCTGCCATGGCAGTTTTCACTAGGTTACCTCTATCTGTAATTTTTTTTAACCACTAGACAGTGAGCTCCATAGAGGCAGGAACTACGGCTTGGTCATCTGGGCCTTGCTCATAATAGACACTTAGGAATGGGGCTGCCACTGGGTGGGTACTTTTGTGCAGTGCACAGCCTGCATCACTACCCATGGCAACCCAGCCTATGGAGGTTTAGTGAATTAGTGAATGAATGAATGAATGAATAGGTGAGAACTTTCAATAAGTGGGGAAAGACATTGCAAGCAGAAGGGACAGAGCCAGCAAAAGTAGGAAGCTTGTTAGTGCAAAGCTTCTTAGTGGAAAGGGCAAATAGCTGTATGCCACAGGCAGTACATCTCAGGAGTTCCATAGCCACCAGCTTTAGCATCACCCAGAGTGTGGTCAACATACCTGCACTCCACCTCAGAAATGCTCAGCCAGAATCTCTGCAGATGGGGTTCAAGAATTTGGGCATCCCAGGGGAACCCCAAGAACACAAAATTTGGAAAAGTACAGGGCCAGCTAACAAAGTGAGTGGTGGACTGCAAAGCGGTAAGACTGGCCCAATTGGCCTGAGCCCAGGCCAGTAATTCATTCATTCAGCATTCATTCATTCAATAAGTATATATTGAGCCAGGAAGGCATTCAGGTATATACCTGTGCACAAGACAGACATGGTCCCTTCTCCCTTGTCACAGTTTAGTGGGAAGACAGTCATTAAATAATTAAGCAAATAAATATCTAATATAGTGTCAGCTTATGAGTAATGCTTTGCAAGAAAGAAAGCAAGGTAAGGGATTAAGAATAGAAGGTTATTTTGGATGGGATGTCAGGGAAGCCCTCTGCTGAGACTGATAGGAGGTGAGGGAAGGAGTCATTTAAAATGAAAGAGCAAACCATGCAGATGTTTGGGGAAAGAGCAATCCAGGCAGAGGGAGTATATGCAAAGGCCTAGAGAATAGAACATGTGGAAGAGGGAGACTGGTTAGGAAGCTTCTGCAATAGTCCAAGTATGAGATGTCAGAGGCTCAGACCAGGGTGGAGGCAGTGGAGGTGGGTGGAAGTGGTCCGATTCAGAATATATTTTGAGGGTTAAGTTGACTAGCTTTGCTGTTGGATCAGATGTGGGTGTGAAAGAAGAGGGGAGTCAAGGTTATTGCAGTCAAGAGTGCAGGGAAATTGGAGGGGGTAATGTTAGAGAGGGACATTGGGGTGGGGAGCACAGACCACAGGAAGGTTCCTGCAGACCATGGGAAGGACTTACTTTTCTTTTGAGTGTGATGGAAGCCCTGGTAGGGTTTTGAGTAGAGAAGCCATGTGATCTGGCATGTGTTCTAACAGCATCTCTAGTTGCAGAGTGTAGAACAGACTTTAGGGAGGCAGAGATGGAGTATGGCAGTTTAGAGGCTGGTGCAGACATCCAAGCGAGAGATGATGATGGCTTGCAGGGTGCTGACTGGGATGGGAAAACTAAATTTATTTGAGTAAAAACAGTAAGTGGTAAAAATCATGAAGGAGACAGACAAATAAATGACTGACATTTGGTAGTGGATCAGGAGCGCCAGCTCTCCAGTCAGCAGCTGCGTCTTCTTGGGGGAAGCGGCTTCCATTCTCCAAGCTGGTGACAAATCTGCAAAATGGGAATGATAATGGAACATACCTCATAGAGTTTTTGATAGGGTGATGTGAATGTTTTGACACAGGATCTAGCACACAGTAAACATTTAATAAATGTTATCCAAGGAACCAGACTGCTAGATTGCAGTACCATCTCTGCCACTCACTCATCTTTGTGAGATTTACCCCTCTGTGTGTCTGTTTACCCATCAGTAAAATGGCGCTATCAAATACCAACTTTATGGGGTTGGGTGGTGAGGATTAAGTAAATGAATACAAGTAAAGCATTTAGAATAATGTTCCATGGAGTAAGCACCACATAAGTGTCAATTATTATTCTGAATATATTATAGCCCTATTTCATTACCTCTTCTCCCACCAGCATACGTCCACCCCATTCTGCAGTTGGGAGGTCTGTGGCTCAGAACAAGGTAACCTCTCTTCAAACGATGCCACAACCTACGTGCAGCGGACCTGACCGCTGCGGGGAAGACGGAGATTCCAGCTTTGAAGGACCTTGTCCCCAGGGGTCCTGTCCCGCCCAAGCACTGCCTGTCGGAACCCTTTAGCGTCTCCCTTCTGTTTCCAGCCGGGCGCGCTGGCGCAGCAGCGCCGGAGCGGGTAGCTACTTCCGGCGGCCACACCCCAACGCAGAACGTCTCCATTTTGGCCGCGCAGGTGGAGACTCGACGAGAACTAGCGGAGTAGCGGAGTGGAGTCAGCAGAACTGTGAGGGCCGAATCGGCTCACCGCACTTTCTCCCTTTCTTCCTCCGCCCGCAGAAGCCGGGGGCTCTCATGGCGGGCTTGGAGGTACTGTTCGCGTCGGCGGCGCCGGCCATCACCTGCGCGCAGGACGCGCTCGTCTGCTTCCTGCACTGGGAGGTGGTCACGCATGGCTACTACGGCTTGGGTGCCGGCGACCAGGTACGCCACGGAGCCGCCCCGGGGCCAATGTGGAGGGGGAAAGGTGTCTTCTGCCCAAACCCAGAGGACCGGAGGCTCGGTCCAAAGTGCCTGACCTTCCCTCCTCCCAGGTCTGGGTCCTAGGAGTCGTGACACCATGGGTACCTTTAGTCTACGGGTCGGGGAGGTGCTCTGTTGTCCTAGCCTAGCTGGCACAACACGATTTGAAAACCCAAGGACAAAACTCGCTGCAGCACAGGCTGGCAGTCTCCGAGGCCGGGATTGTGCGGATCTGGCAGCAAGACAGGGGTTACTCTCCTGAGTACTCCTCACCTACCCGAACTCCGCCAAGCTCCTTCCCACGCTGCTGGGTGGGGTGGGGCTGTACCCAGTACTACCCTCCTCATTGCTGTAGTCGAGCGCCCACCAGACATCTGGATCCAGGCACAGGTATGGGGGGAGGTTGGGCCGACTCAGCTCCAGTCAAGGGCCCTTAGAGCTCAGACAACCCTTCATGCTCTACTGAAGGGCCTGGTGCAGCCCACTCACTGTTATGGTCTTCACTCAGGCTCCTGGGGAACAGCCACCTCCCACACACGTACAGACATGCACCCTGGGTGTAGGGCCAAGTAAGTTTCCTCCCCAACAGCTGTCCCATCCTCAGGCTCTGCCTCTTAGAGCAGGGGGCCCTGTGGTCATCCCTACAGAGCCCCAGGACTGGCGGGCCCAGCTGCCCTCACTAATTCTTTGCCGTAGCATTCTCCCATCTTCCCTGCTGCTTCCCTGTGACTCTCCCCCTATACATCATTGTACACACCAGCTTCCTGTGAGAACTGGGCCTGGGCCCCTTACTGCCCCTTCATTTCCCTTCTGCTCCATCCGAGAAAATATCCTCCCATACACACGCTCAGGACTCACTGCCTGCCCTTCACTGTCACTCTCTTCTCACTCTCAGAACCTAGACCAGCTCTGGGGAGCAGGGCGCTTCACTCCTTTCATCTTACAGTGAGATTTTAACCTCACTCTCATTTCTAACTGCTTTAGTTCTCAAATACCCTAATCCTTTTTTAGTTTCTCAGATATACATCCAGCGTCTTAATCTTTCCTCTTCTGACACAGAGCTTTAGGGATCCCTCCTCAGACAGAGTTTACACATCCTGGGCTCCTAGAGCCAGGTTCGCCCCCCCCCCCCCCCCC